TCGGGCACGGCCAGCAGCGAGGTGCCGGTGTCCACGATGGCCTGGCAGCCAGAGGCACAGGCAACAGTCGACCCATCAATGGATAAGCTGGGGAGAGGGACACGGGGTGAGGGTCTGCACCTCCCAAAACACTAGCTGGGGCAGGGGGCGAAGGGAACCACCAAGCCTGGGGAGGCTGTGCTGGGACTACCTCTCCATGGTGATCTCCCAGTAGGTTTCTTCAGAGAGGGAGATCCAGTCGATGCCGTTGGTAGTGTAGGAGTCATCGATGGCACCGAAGAGGACAAAGCTGCCGCTGTCGTCATCCCTGCAAGGGGGGAGTCATCAGCTGGGGGTCCCACCCCACCACCACTGGCAGTGCCATCGCAGAGAGTGGCTTTGCTGACATCCGCTGGTACCAGCAGTGGTGAGCCATGTTCCCCCGGGAGCCATGGGGCATCAAGTCACTGGGGAACGGTGCTGGAGCCAGCCTCTGTGGGAGGGAAACAGGAGAAAATCCTCGGCAAGGGCTGGGCAGCTCTAGCCAGGACTTACTTGCTCAGGTAGACAGAGAAGAGGTCCTCGGACACAAGGTCTTCCGACATCATGTTGTCGAAGACAGGGGTGGCTCCAGAGGAGGAAATGCTTGGGAAGGCCAGCCCCAGGATGCCATCAAAGGGAGCGTAGTAGAAGAAATCGCCAGGCTCGGTCTCGGACAACCCGAAGATCTGGTCGGTGATCTCGATGCTCGAGACCTGGTTGGGGAGATGGGGAGAGGGGAAAAGGGCTCGGTGTGGGTAGGTGATGCTCTGGTGTCCCTGCTACTGTGGGATAAGGAGACAGGAGCACCCCGCCTTACAGTGACGGTGTCGTAGCCGAGGATGCCAGTCATACTGCCAGTGCCGTAGGTGATGGAGAGGCTGTCATTGGTGCTGACAAAGGTGGAGGAGTCATCTGGGTTGAAGCGGTTGTGGTTGGCTGCAGGTACAGGAGAGAGACAGTCATGGTCCATCCCATCCTCAGGGACCAAGAATGACCCTCCAGTGCCTCCCCCATCACTCAGCATCCCTTGGGAGAGACAGGGCAGAGCCGTCCTCGGCTCCCAGCCCTCCCAGGGGCTCCCGGAGCCAGGCAGGGCAGGGGGCTGGCCAAGCCCGGGGCTTCCTCTGCCTTCAGCCCTTGCCCAGCCAGCAACAGGGCTGCCAGACACCTACTGCAGGCCTCGCTGTCACAGTAGATGGAGGGCACCCACAGGTTGGAGGAGCCAGTGTCAAAGATGACAGTGAAATCCTGGGCTGGGGTACCGATGGAGATGGTGCCGAAGTATTCCACCTGTCAAAGCGGGATGGGTAAGGGATTAGCAGGATGGATAAGGGGCTAGTGGATGGGAAAGAGGTTAGAGGAATGGGGAAGGGGCTAGTGGGTCAGGTAAGCGGTTTAAGGGGCCAGCAGCCCCGTGGGCTGCCCTGCCAGTGCCAGCCTCTCTGCCCTGCCATGCTCACATCCAGGTAGTTTTCCATGCTCTCGCTGGCAGAGCCGGAGCTGTAGAACTTGGCGGCCGGGTTGTAGGGGTGCTGCTCCAGGTAGCTCTCCAGCAAGCCATTCTCCCGCAGGGTCTGCCGCAGGGACTTCGACTTCTTCAGAGGGACCCTGGGTGCAAGGGAGAGCAGAGCCCACCTGTCACCAGGAGCCGAGCAGGGAAGCGCCTCGAGGGCAGCAGGTACCCCCTGACACGCGCCTGCCCTGTGCCTCGTCCCGGCACAGGGGACCGTCCTCGCTGCCCGGGAGCCTTGGCCACGGCTATGGCCAAAAGAGTCTGCGGGTTGCGTCCATCCCCTCTATCCGTGCTGGGAGCTGGGCAGTCACCCTGCTTGCCTCGCCCAGCGTGGGTGCTGGGGGTCCTGGGGATGGCGGGTGGCTGCGTGGGCACCCCGCTGCTCACCTGGAGACAAGGCACTGGGCCAGAGCCACACAGCCGAGGAGCAGGAGGAGCTTCATGGTGTCTGCTGAAAGTCAGCGACCCAAGTGAAGAGGCGCTCCGAGTGTGCCACCAGCCCCAGCCCAGCTCCCTTATATCCCAGCCACGCTTGTTTGGCCAGTGCCCCCGATAAGAAAGGCAAACAGCTCCAGGGGCACTTATCGCAATGTCCTTAAAGGAGACCAAGGGTGGGGGAATGTCAAGGTGAAGGCTCTCCATCCTCATGGGGGTCAAACGCCGTGGCTGGGGTGCAAGGATGCTTGCGGCAGGCTGGGGCTGGGAGAGAAGCCGCCTCCAGTTGTTCTGCATCCTGAGAGGAAGGCACTGGGATCTGGGGGGAAGCTGGGGAGGGGGACAGGGGGCTGGATGGGGCCATTTCTGGGCATTCCCCCACCACCATCCAACCACCCGGGCATTACACAAGCCGACGACATCGCTGCAGCTGAGGAACCACAGCGTAAATCATGCACCATTAGATAAAAACATTTATTTTCCAGTTGGCTTTAGCTGGCCAGGGGTAGCCACCCCTGCCACAGGGGGTGACATTGCCCCTAGACCCAGAAAAGCTGCAGTACGAAGGGTCCTGGGACCACTCTGGACCGTCCTTGTCCTGCTGTGAAAAGCAGAGTTTCTGTCCGCAGGGGTTTGTCAGGGTGGAGCTGGCATGGGAGCACTGGTCCTTCGGGGTCCCGTGGTCCCTCCCAACTCTTTGCTTGTGGGTTTGAACCTGGGGGTTGTAGCCTTACACCCCCCCTGCAGCTGTATCCCTTGCCGGGGGATTGGGGACAGCTGGTGACCCCCTGCTGCTGCCCTGAGAACACCAGGGCTGCCTTGGGGTGCCCACCCATGGGTGGCAGCTGAGCCCCAGCTCCATCACGTGTCTGGCCGTAACCCTGGGGTTGGCACAAGGGGCTCCATCAAAGCCCAGTGCCAGGGTCTTGGCTGTGACGCCAAGGGGAATTTGCTTAATCTTAATAGCTACGGGCAAACGCGGCTGCTCCTCACCGGCTTTATCCATTACGGATGGCAGCTGCTGTTAGTTCAACACAGCGTGTCTCTGCCTGCCTGCCCTGGGGCTCTGGGTGCAGAGGGTGGAAGCCCATGTTCTTCACCGCGGCTGAGCCCAGCTGGTGCCTGCAGCACCCCTGTCTGCCTCCCCTGTCTCTGGGCTGGGGTCAGCATGGGCAGAGCGCGGTGGAGGACCTGCACTGCTGGGGTCCAGCTTTAGAATCACAGAACGGGTTGGGTTGGAATGGACCTTCAAGATCATCTAGTTCCAACCCCCCTGCCATGGGCAGGGACACCTTTGCCTAGACCAGGTTGCTCAAATCCTCGTCTAACCCGGCCTTGAACACCTCCAGGGATGGGGCAGCCACAACATCTCTGGGCAACCTGGTCCAGTGTTTCATCACCCTCATTGTAAAAAATTTCTTCCTTATCTCTAATCTAAATCTCCCCTCTTTCAATTTAAAGCCATTGCCCCTTGTCCTGTCACTCCACGCCCTTGTCTAAAGTCCCTCTCCAGCTTTCTTGTAGCCCGTTTCAGTACCGGAAGGCTGCTAGGTTTCCCTGGAGCCTTCTCTTCTCCAGGCTGAACAACTCCAACTCTCTCAGCCTTTCCTCATGAGAAGGTACTCCAACCCCCTCATCATCTTCATTCCCCTCTTCTACACCCACTCGAGCAGGTCCATTTCTTATGCTGGGGCTTCATCTGCCCCCATCTGTCCCAGGGCTGCCTGCGGAACTGGGACCAGCTTGGGGGGTGAAATTAGGACAAGCTGGTGGAAAAGACCAGCTTGAGATGCCACTGGTTGAACAATACCAAGGTCACCTGTGCTGCGCTGCGTCAGAGATGCCCAGTGCTGGTCCGGGCGTCCCAGCTGCTGTCACAGCACCGTGTGTGTGAAATGTGGCTGCTGGCACGGTCACCTTGTCCTGCGCTTGGAGGAAAACTCAGCCAGACCCTGCACTGATGAGCTGGGGACCAGCCTGCCCAGAGGCACCGTATGGGCTGGAGCTGGTTTTCCTCCCTTGGAACTGGTTTCAACCTAGCTCTGAATAATAAAACAATTGAGGATAGATGCTAAATTGCATCAGGGGGAACAAAATGAGTAAGAACCTGGTTGTTTCTGATGCGCGATGTTGGAGGGAAAAAGGGAGGAAATACCTAATTCTCCCTGAGCAAAAAAGGAAGATGTGATGTGTTCAGTTTGGGGGTGGGGGGTCTGGAAAGCAGAAAGTCTTGGCTGACCCCCAAAATGGAAAGTCTGGACCTGGCAGAAGGCCACAACCTGAAAACCCTGCATGGAGCCTTGGCATCGTGTGCCCCGCTGGCCTCAGGAGCCAGCCTGCGCCTGCAGGTAGCTGGAAAATACAAAGATAATCAGAGATTAGCCAACAGCATCTACTTCACGCTTCGCCCCCTCGCTCCCCTGACCCTGTGCAAGGCAGCGGCGCATTTCGACGAACACGTGCTCAGATAAGGAGCAGCCCTAGCAAAGGCGCTGGTTCACTGCAAACATGCCCTTGCTCCGCTACACGTGGAAAACTTTTATTTGTGGAAGGTTTTCGGAGTGGAGTGCTCGAGGACACGTCCCTCGGCGGGGAAGCGGCCGTAGCCAGCTGCCCTGGGACCACTCCGACGGGCCGCGAGGTCGTGTTTCTTTCCCCGGACACACCAAGTGTCTGCGCTCGGGGAAGAGGCTGTTCCTGCTAGGGAAAGCCCCTTCCTCCACAGCACATAGTGGGTTTCATTGCTCCGTGGGGACAGCTGGCACAGAGGTCAGGGTGATTTGCCTGGGCTGCCACAGATATTAAGACCAGCTGCTGCAAATCCCATTGTGCATATAAGGCAGATTCAGAGGTAGGGGCTTGCTGGTTTGCCTGGCTTTTGCTGGCTTGCCTGGCTTTTGTTTGATTGTCCAGTGCTGGGAGCTCTTTGCAAGCTTCCTTGTCCCTCAGTGCTGGTGGAACGTGGAATGCTGTACCCTTGCAGAGACTGGCCTGCCTATGGCAGTGATTTTGGGGGCTGTCAAAGCTCACACCTGTTCACCCTCCACAGTCTGAGACCCAGGACTTCTTCCAGGGAGGCTGCTCAGAAGCTGCTGGGCTTGGCACGTGTTCCACAGTGGGGCAGATAATGCTGTAGCAGGTCCACGGGAGCTGGCATGTGATGCAGGAGGTGGTGGCTGGAGCTCTGCAGAGCTGGTAGTCACGTGGGGGTGCTGGTGCGGCTCCTGCATCAGAGAGCCTGTGATGGAGAAGAAGGTCCTTCTGGAAAGTGGAAATGGTCCTTGGTTCAGCTCCACGGTGGGTAACAGGAGGTAACTGGTGCATGCAGGCAAAGAGCGATGTAGTAAGGGAGCTGGGTGGTAAGTGCCCCCTCTCCTCGGGCGGCGATGGAGGTCCTGGTGAGGCTGGGGTGGACTTTCCTCTATCTGCAGGAAAGGTTTTAGCCAGGACACGTGTTCAACAGAACATATCTGCTCAGGGTGGGTGATGTAGGGGTGAGCTGCCTCCAAGGTGTCCTTCTGCACTGATGCTCATCCTGCATCAATTGTAGTAACAAGCAGAGAAACTTCTCTGAGAAGCAGAAAGCTGAAGGGCAGGAACATTTCAGGTCCTAAATTCTTCCTTTGGAGCAAGTCAGTGAGTTGGGCTTCAGGGACTGAAGTCTGGACTCGCTGTCACACCTCACTTCAACCTGGTGTCCCGCACTTTTGGGGCAATTTAATTATCAATTTAACTCAGACAGAACATAAACCTCTCTGGGCACAGAAGGCAGGGACTAACCTGTGCTCTCACAGCAGCCCTCTCTGTGGGCAAAGAGGATGTTCGAGGTGAATACTCTCCTTATATTTAAAAACTCAACTGGAAAAGCCTCGTGCTCAGCACCAGTGTTTTAGTGAAATGTAACTTTTTTCGTAATGTTAGGGAAATATAACTTGCTTTATTCTCTCACTCGGTTGTCTTGGCAGCGATGGGTTTGCCAGCAACTAAGACTCCCTTAGCCAGAGCAGTGAAGGGACTAGAGAAGCTGCCGGCAGCCGAATGCCTGCTTCGTTGGCATAAAAAAAGGTATGTCCTGCGGTTCTGGGCTGATGCAGGGGCCTCAGGATGAGCTGGCCTCTTCCGAACACCCAAACTGTACTCCAAACTTGGGACTGTATCATGTAATGAAGACTCAAAGCAATTTTCCAATCTTTCACTGCACACAATCGTAGCTGAAGCAGAGCTCCACATGCAAAGTTGTCATCATTGAGGATCAGGATTTCATTTTTCTTCAATGGAAAGAAAGAATTTGTCAAATTATGGGAAGTTTTAAGATAAGCTCGCTCTCCCGTCAGTAGATCCCACCACCAGGAGCCAATGAAAACCCCATGTATTCAGGCAGGTATTGATTTTTGAATGTATCATTACACATAGAATGAAGAAGTTGTGTAATTCAGCGCCAGAAAAAAAAAATATCTCAGAATACATATTTAGCACCATGAAAGTCGAGAAAAAAGAAATGGAGGAGGATGGAAAATAATCACTTTAGGGAACTCTCTCCTATTGCACCAAGCTTCACTGTGCTGGTGATTCCATGGCTGCACCTCTTTCCCAAGCCCCTTCCACCCAGGCTCCTTTCAGTCTTTATTTTTACAGTTTTCAGAGCCTTCTGGGGAACCTCAGACCCTCAGAGTTTGGAGGCAGATGTGGTGTGACCCATCTTATCACTTAATGCCATTCCAGCCTCATACCCAGGGATGGGAGGGGGAAATTAGCAGCACAAACAGCCTGGTGAGTTCATCATGTCGTTAAAGACAGAGATGGCTGCGGCAGCAGCAACACTGGGGACAGCCAGGCTTGGGACGCCATCGAAGCGGGTGTAGGACAAAAAGGAGCCAGGCTCAGGCCAACGATCTGGATGCTGACCTGGATATTTCCAACCTTGGTAGAGAAATGGAAGGAATGAGACGTGCTGGGATTCTAGAAAAATTGGCCCTTTGCCCCCAAAAGGGAGCAGAGAACCCTGAGA